ATCCTTCCGTCTCAGCCTTCCAAATAGCTGGAACTACAGGCGCGCGCTACCACGCCCGGCCAATTTTTTGATTTATTGTAGAGATGAGTCTCACCAAGTTGCCCAGGCGGGTCTTGAACCTACAGGCTCAGGCAATCCACTCACCTCAGCCTTCCAAAGCACAGGATTACAGGCTGAACCACCGAGCCCGGCTCACTAAGATTATTTCATTAAATTATTCCATTTCGGCATTTCACTCCTTTGGACATATTTGGTAGGAAAACTGTTCTGTTTAAAAATTCATTTTTTCGGCCGGGCTCGGTGGCTCAGCCTGTAACCCCAGCGCTTTGGGAGGCCGAAGTGAGTGGATTACCTGAGTCCACGGGATCGAGACCTGCCTGGGCAACTTGGTGAGACCTCATCTCTACAATAAATCAAAAATTAGCCAGGTGTGGTAGCGCGTGCCTGTAGTTCCAGCTACTTGGAAGGCTGAGGCGGAAGGAATGCCGCAGCCCAGCAGGTTGAAGCGGCAGTTGCCGCTCTTGACCACTGTACTCCAGTCTGGGTGACAGAGCGAGACTCCAACTCAAAAAAAAAAAAAATTCATTTTTTCTTTTTTTTAACATTTATGTGGGGTACAGTTCAGGGTTAGGTATACAAATGTTGATTATGCAGGTACCCTTGTTGATGAGGTGTCCCCTCCCCTCCCCTGGCAGTTTCCCACCACTGGCAGTCCCTTTCTTATAGTAGTGTGATAATTGTTCAAGGTCTGCTTATGAGTGAGAACATATGGTACTGTTATTTTTTTCTTAAATTTCAATTTTTTGAACCCCTTCAGGTCCCCTTCTGCCGGAGACCAGCTCCAGCAGGTCCAGGTTTCCTGAAGAAGAGAAGGCTTCCGCGCAGGAGAGAAAACGGACACCTGACTCTGCTGCAAGCAGGACAAATGCTGATTTATTGCCTTTTTCAACTCCTTTTATACCCTAGATTTTGGCTTCAGGCGAAAACATGGTTGTCGTTTTCTTTTTTTTTTTGAGTTGGAGTCTCACTCTGTCGCCCAGACTGGAGTGCAGTGGCCGCTCCCGGCCACCCCAGTCTCGACCTGCGGGGCCCCAGCGATCCTTCCGCCTTAGCCTTCCAAGTAGCTGGAACTACAGGCGCGCGCTACCACGCCCGGCTGATTTTTGATTTATTGTAGAGATGAGGTCTCGCCAAGTTGCCCAGGTGGGTCTCGAACCCGTGGGCTCAGGCAATCCACTCACCTCAGCCTCCCAAAGGCACGGGATTACAGGTTGAGCCACTGAGCTCGGCTTGTCATTTTCAAGACAATCAGTTTTAATTCAATGTATCTTTATCCTGTTTTGTAAGTTACACCTGTGACACATCAATTTGCAATTAACTGGGGTAAAGCAACATTCTCAAGGTCTCTTAATTGCAAGTTGGCCTGACTCGATTTCCATATTGTCACACCTGTTATTTACAATCTGCGTCAATTATCCCTTGTCAGGGAGAATGGGCTTCAACGTTTGTAAAACAAAAGGCTCTCCAGGCTCAATTGATCTTAGTCACAATCCCTAACCAAAATTGTAGACTTTCTTAACAAAGGGAAAATAAGGCCAAGAGTGCTCTTAATGGAAGAGTATACTTCTTTTTTTTTGAGTTGGAGTCTCATTCTGTTGCCCAGACTCATTCTGTTGCCACCGCAGCCTCGACCTGCTGGGCTCTGGTGATCCTTCCGCCTCAGCCTTCCAAGTAGCTGGAACTACAGGCACGCGCTACCACGCCCGGCTCATTTTGATTTATTGTAGAGATGAGGTCTCGCCAAGTTGCCCAGGCGGGTCTACGAACACTCAGGCTCAGGCAATCCACTCACCTCAGCCTCCTCAGGCTGAGCCACCGAGCCTGGCTGGAAGAGTATACTTCTAACAAAACAAATCCTTCCTTTACTACGTACTACCATTTGGTAAGAATTATTTCTCCCATATAGAACTCTTTACATCTTCCAACATCCAGGCTTCCAGTGGCAAGATCGAGAGTGAAGGTAGAAGAAGCAGGAACAACAGCTGCCCAGAGTTGCCCTGCAACCTGGGGTTTTTGGCCTTCTGCACTCTGTCAATGTGAAGGCCTCTAAGGCTGGCTCCCAGCACCCTTCCCCTGTCTTCTCAATAAATCCTACTTTCTTACAAAAAATAAAAAATAAAAAAATTTTCAATTTTTTTTCTTAAAAATGAGTGAGTTGTGTTCACAGGGGCTAAATGCTTTACAGACAGGAAAAACACTATACTAGTACCAACTTATTCATTAACTTTCTCCTCTTCTTTCTCTTGCTTTTTTCAGCCTTGATGACTCCCCTTTTTGCTGTATGTTTTTTTTTTTTTTTTTACTTCGGTATACAGCAATATTCTTTTTGTAATTTTCCCTTCAGTGTCACAGGCTTCACTTCATAAGGCTGCTTGTCCTCTGCAGTAGTGTTCTCCACATTTCTCCCTATTTCTTTTCAACACCACTACAAAGGTCAGGATGTTCTCCTTTGATTTGTAGGCAATACTTAGAACAGAACGAGAAAAAGGCCAAAGGAAGCCTACTGGGTGCATCGGGATCCATGAATTTTTTTGGTTTCCCTTTAGGAGGGTTTAAGTTTTCATTTTTTGTTCATAGAGGGCCTTGTTCACCTCTGCCTTGCCTTCAAAATCTCCCTTCTCTTTAGCAAACGTGGTCTCTCCCACCTCTGCCGGTATTTAGAAAATGGTGAGAAATTCACTAAAGCATCTAGGTGCTCATTCTCCTGGTCTTCGCGACAAGTCTGCACAAAGAATAAGGAGGAGGAGATTTTGCCTCTTGCCTTCTCAGGCTGTCCTTTGCCACGGGGAATAAGGAGGAGGAGATTTTGCCTCTTGCCTTCTCAGGCTGTCCTTTGCCACGGGGAGTGATTTTTCCTCAGGGGGCATAATTGCCCAAGCCGTGACCCTGCCTTGCCCAAGCGGCGGCCCTGCCTTGCCCGGCTCTGTAAGAGCTGAACGTGCTGCAGTGGCCTGCAGCTCCATCTTTCTTAGCAGCACTCGTGCTACCTGACAGATACAGTATTATGTATCAACATCTCCCTTACTAAAACGTGAACTCCATGACCGCTGAGAGATTGGTATTTTTTGCTGCTGAGCAAGCATGGCACACAACTAAAGGTCAATGAATATTTGTTAAATGAATGCCTCCCTTTAGACGACATACAGAAGAGCATTTTCCTTTCTGTAATCTATTCATGTATTCTGTAATGTATTAATTTCTCTTTCTGTAATATTCTCACTTGTATAATCTGAAATTTAACTTACTGGATTAGTGAAATTATGCTTTATAAATTCTTAGCATACAATGTGTGCACGAACAGAAGGGCCCTTACAAGCTTTATGTGCAATACGGGTCAGCCCTGCTGACAGGGTGATGGGCCGTCTGCCTATCTCAGCTACAGCTACAGCTCTGTCCGGGAGAAGGAACCATCTCCCCTGCCAGGGCCGATAAGGCACCAACAAGTTCTGAAGGGACACGTCCAAGGAGGGTTAGAAGACAGGAAGACGCAAGGGAAGACCCCCGGAAGAGTGTTGGGGTCCGCCGCACCAGATCACATCAGACCGCCCAAACGCTCAGAACCAGCCGCACTCTCGGGCGCTCTGGCCCGCATCTCTATTGTGGAAAAAAAGCGAGAACCGGAAGTGAGCCTCAGCCCTGGGCGCTCCAGCCTGCATCTCTATGGCAGAAAAAGTAAAAGAAACGGAAGTGTGCCCCTGCTCCGGGCGCTCTGGCCCGCATCTCTACCACCGGATCCCAGAGAACCGGAAGTAGGCCGGTAGAGAAGAGACGAGGGGGCGGGGCCTCGGAGAGGAGGGTCCTCCGTCGCCAACTCCGCTGCGGACCGAGGCGAGATGGCGGCCACCGAGGGAGTAGGGGAGGCGGCGCAGGGCGGCGAGCCAGGTCAGCCAGAGCAGCCGCCGCCTCAGCCGCATCCACCGCCAGCCCAGCAGCCGCCGGAGGAGGCGATGGCGGCCGAGGCCGGGGGGGCGGTGGCCTCCCCTATGGACGACGGCTTTCTTTGCCTGGACTCGCCCACCTACGTCCTGTACAGGTAACGCCCCGCAGCTGGCCCTGGCGCGGGACGCCCTGACCCTTGGCCTGCTCCGCCCGTGACCCGCCTCCAGCTCTGGGCGTCCGCCGCCGCGTTGCAGCCTGCGCCTTCAGAGGTCGCGCCCAGAGGCCGCGCGGGCGGCGGGGTGGGCACCCGCGACGTCCCGACCTGTCGCCTGGTGCGGGCGCGTGGAGACCGCTGAGCGCTGTCCGGCGCGCTTCGGTGTTCAGGTGTCGTGGTTTCCCGCCTTCTTAATGTCCCCCGAACGCCGTCCCAGACGCATCGTGAGGGCTCTCAGGACAACCAGTGTTTTAGCGCCTAGTATCAGCCGGGCTGACGGAGCGATGTCTTACTCTCGTGAGCACCGCACGTCGCCTCGTAGAGATGTGTAGTAGCGGCTGCTGTAATTCTCGCCTCCTCCCCGCCTTTGCCAACACCCTTTTCCATCCCCACCCGTTCCTGGCTTTAGACAAAAATGCTAAGTCTCTAGTTCCTTGGGAACCTGCAGACACAATCGCCTTACGTCTTAACTCTTCTGTAGTTCTGGGTAAACCCATTAGATGACTTTATCTACCTTGATTTTATGGATGAGCGAAAGTCACTAATCAGATTTTTAAAATTGGAGTTAGTGTAGTGACTTAGAATATTACGCCAGTAAACATTAATGTTTTATTGATTTAAACATTAAATTAGTGGCCCCATAACCTTCAAACCCTCACTGGATTGTGAAATATTCAGGTTTTTCACATGACTGTTTCTGATTTCCCAGTGACTAAATAGCTTTACTTTTCCTGTGCCACTTCCTCGGGCTCTAGGTTTCATATCTCCGGTGACTGTTTTCCCTTGTATTTCTTCTTGTGTGAGGGACACAATTTCAGGATTGTCTGGACGCCACAGGATCTCTGCTGTCAATAGCTGATCAAGTATAGAGAAGTAAAGAGTGTTTGAGAGGAAAAGGATATAAGTAAAAGCGTAAAACATTTGGTCATACTGGGCAGTTCACATGGAAATTCCTGTAAACACACGTTGCTGCCACTACACTGTTTTAGCATTGATGATGAGTACTATTCATTGAATACTTCTTGTATGCTATGAGTGTTTTAAGTGCTTGCCATCTGTTTTCTCATTTAATCCTCAAAACAACCTTTTAAGATTGGTCCGTAATACAGTATTATCATCCCCACCTTATAAATGAAGAAACAGGCCCAGAGAAGTTAAGTAACTTTCTTTTTTTTTTTCCTGAGTTGGAGTCTCACTCTGTCACCCGGACTGGAGTGCAGTGGCCGCTCCCGGCCACCGCAGCCTCGACCTGCTGGGCTTTGGTGATCCTTCCGCCTCAGCCTTCCAAGTAGCTGGAACTACAGGCGCGCACTACCACGCTGGGCTAATTTTTTGATTTATTGTAGAGATGAGGTTTCGCCAAGTTGCCCAGGCGGGTCTCGAGCCCACGGGCTCAGACAATCCACTCACCTCAGCCTCCCAAAGGCGCGGGATTATAGGCTGAGCCACCGAGCCCGCCTTAAGTGACTTTCTTAAGTTCATATTGGTAAGTGGTAGAGCCAGCTTTCTTAGAACTCATTTACGCAGTTGTCTGAATCCAGAGCCTGCTCTCTTATTAATGACCACCTGGGCTCTAGTACGCAGTGAACTAGTAGTGCTTGCTTTTATTTTTAAAATGTCAGTTCTTAGTACATTTGTTACTCAAGTTTTTAAAAATGCTGACTGGGCCAGGTGCAGTGGCTCATGCCTATAATCCTACCACTTTGGGAAGCCAAGGTGAGAGGATTGCCTGAACCCTTGGGTTCGAGACCAGCCTGGGCAACTTGGTGAGACCTCATCTCTACAGTAAATCAAAATAATTAGCCAGGCATGGTGGTGCACACCTGTGTTCCCAGCAACTTGGAAGGCTGAAGTGAAAGGATTGCTTGAGCCCAGCAGGTTGAGGCTGCAGTGGCCGTGAGCGTGCCACTGCACTTCAGCCTGGGTGACAGAGTGAGACTCCAACTCAAAAAAAAAAAAAAAAAATGCTGACTGACCCCAAAGAGTCTTAGATCAATTAATTAGATTGACTTCTAAGTTAAAACTGTCATGTACTTGCCACAAAACATGTTTTCCACTTATTAAATTTTAAATTTGAAAACTCTTGAGTGATTAACTTTTTAAAATCACGATTGTTTTATTTTTACTTTAAAAGTTTCATATGTAAAGCAAAGTGACAAAATTTATTATGAAGAATCCACCATGATTACATTTAAGATCTTTAAAAGTTACTAGTATTGATGTAAGTGTAATTTGTTGCAATTTTTAAAAAACACCAGAGTTCATTTTCTTTTAATGTGTTTGAATATAACTACCAACAGGAAAATGTATCTTTTCAGGGACAGATCAGAATGGGCTGATATAGATCCAGTGCCACAGAATGATGGTCCTAATCCAGTGGTCCAGATCATCTACAGTGAAAAATGTAAGTTTTTTTTTGTTTTGTTTTTTTTTTTTGAGTTGGAGTCTCACTCGGTCGCCCAGACTGGAGTGCGGTGGCCGCTCCCGGCCATCGCAGCCTCGCCTGCTGGGCTCCAGCGATCCTTCCGCCTCAGCCTTCTGAGTAGCCGGAATTACAGGCACGC